TCATTTATCAATGATAAAATAAAGGGGGAGAAATTCATATTCACATAACATTATTAGTCTCAAAAGTAGCATAAATAGCATCTACAGTACCCTAATACGGGCGGGTTTCGAAACAGACATCGCAAACATTTGAAAAAATTAAGAAATAAACAATACTCACGAGGTAGAGGACAAAATTATAGCTTCGGCAGTCTTTGTCTGAATCGCTCCAATTCCATGTACTATGACTTCAATCCTTCGCCATTTTTACAGGTGGTGATTTGATATACGCAGGTGTGCACTTGGATGATCGTAGAACGAGTTTCGACACGGATTTCAAACGCAACCTGTAAAACATGATGTCAAAATAAACTAAACAATTTAAAAAAAAAGAAACTATTGCACCCAAAAAAGTCACGAGGTTGCCGATCGAACCGTTCTACACCATATCATCGTAAACCCGTCGCCATTGTTCGCGGCTGCGATACGATACTATAGGATGATCGTAGACTACGATGAATACGGTTTATGCAGGTTTTGAAACGCAAAACGTACACATATAAACTATAAAGCAATGGAAATATTACAACAAATAAATATCTACTTACGAAGCTCAGTCACGGTGTCAACAGAGAAAATTGAAATCGGCAAACGTGCGTTCAATTCGCTGTGGAGAAATGCTTACGGTCTTCATGGTCATATAGAGTGAAAAGAACGCGTCCCTCTCGCCCCCAACCCCTGGACGACGATTCCAACAGGGCATTTATGACCATTGCGAGCAGTGTCGCCAACCTGCCACCCGGGCGGCGAGCACACGATCGTCATGGATAAATTAGCCAAATCGGTATTCGCGGTGGCCACGCCATAGACATATTAATAAATGGACTGATCGTAGAAAGAGAGGTTCGTATACCAACATTGTTAGAAAGAAATAGCATACAACTTAAGATGGTCATAGAAAAACAAATTACATATCATGGAGTAAAAAACATAATCAATTTAAAACCATTTAGGTAGATAACAAAAATTGAAAATATATATTTAACATTTATATTATTATCAAGATCATATATAGATAAATTATTATGTTATCACCTCCAAATTTTGCTTGTCATTCCATGATATCTAATTTTTTGATCTATGATTTTCTTAAACTATGCTCTATCTCTTTCACATTCATGTATAATATCTTTGATCTCTTTCTAAGAACGTTGGTCTCACGGTGACATAGGTGGGGTGTGTGGGGGACGTAGTCCATTTATTAATATGTCTATGGGCCACGCCATGGCTCGTAATAATAATTTCACCCTATATAAAAAACCCCTAATCCAAAATTGTAATACTTTCGTCCATTATAATCAAATCGTTAAACTAATATTATAACTAGATTCAAAATTTAATTTAACGTCAGTATATGTAGGAACTTACAGTTCACGTCACGAAAAAGTGCGGATGATTCTAGCGCCAGCAGTGGCATAGAAAATAATTGTTACCAATTTGATTGAAACATAATTCAAAGGGTGGTTTGTAATATAATCCCTCGTAAACCAATGATACAATGTATTCTGTTGTTCTGGGGAATTATAGTGGTATGCTTTATAAATGTTTTAGTTAAGAAATAGAACCATACCAATTTCACCATTCAATTATTTGGGTAATCAAACAAACTGAAAAAAGAAACATGTTAATGAATTTGTTTATTCAAGAAATAAATCTAGTACTAGATAATATATTTTATATAGTATTACAGTTAGGTATACGTATAGGCTATAGTATTTGTAATACAATTCGTTCTATAAAACGTTTTATAACTTCTATGGCCTTAGATCAGTGATTCTCATAAACACATAATTTAAATCGCTCATTTTTAAGATAATGCATGCATACATATTCAGCACATAAGAAAAATATATTATTTAATGGTCTTAACAAAAAATTATCATCTATTATTTTTCGGATTGTCTATTTAATAAAGTTCAAAACCATTGATCGAAGTACTTCAACAGAGATATTATAGGATATTGGATCACCAAGACACCAACTAACGGAACGTTATAATTTTTAAACAAATACAATTTTACAGATCATTGTATTATACTTAGTTTTAGGTTTTCTAAACTATTATTACTATTCTATAAATATACAAATGGCTTACAAGTAATACGCCGTCTCAACGTCATAATAATAGGCCTTTAGTAGGTAATTTTATTATTATCATTACAAATTAATAATTACCTATAGTATAAATAGCTATTTTTTATGTTTGACATTAATAATTATAATTTGATATTATTCTTAATTTATTCTATACTTATATATATTTTTTCAAATTATTATTCAAGACAAATTCAACTTTTTTATTATTTATTATTTGGAAGGTAGGTATAAGGTATTTATTGATTATTTTTTTGTTATTGAGATATTTTATTTAAAAAAAATAAAGCCTTAAAATTATATTAATATAAATGAATTCTATGTGTGAATGACGCTCAAGTGCACATTACAAATTGTAATATAACGGTCAGGACCCCAGCTCGTTTGCATAAACCCGATCACTGTTAATATTATTATAAAAACAATATAAAGATTCTCGTTCTGTTTATTCGGCGGCGGCGTTCGCTCTATTGTAAACGTTATTTATCATCCGAACGATCGACACGATGACTACTTACTAATTACGATAGATTTGAAAAACTGAAAAAATAAACAAATAAACACCGAGGACAATGACCAATTATAATATATAATATTGTTCTTGTCTTCGTCTTGTATGCGTACAGTTGGAATTCTCATTTTTTTTTCTTTTTGACGTCTCAATTTGTTTTAACTCTATCCAAGTCTGGTCTTTGATCAAGATAATATAACCGCGCGCGGGTGAAACTGAGTAAAGAGTAGGTACCTACCTACATATTAATGCCTATACATGCGTTTACCAGCAACGGTGAAAATATTATTGTCTCGTGCGAAATACTAGTGTGTTAAAAAAAAAGAATCAAAAAACAGATAGCTTCACCCAATTATAATTGTTTTTAATTGCAAATATATTGTGATTATACTTAGGTACAAAAGAAAAATAAACTTGATGTTTAGGTACTTACTTGTGGCACATGATATTGGCAGGAGACAGTAAATACTTATTTCCTACAACCACCTGAAACCATTCACCACTAATAAGTGTAGTCTAAATTAAAATAATAAAGTATAAACATAAATTATTACATTGGCGTTGCCTATCTATAGTGTTATTTAATCTATAGTCTCAGACATCGGTATATCTGGAATTAAGGAAACAAAAACTAATAGGTACAATCTACAATCATAAATAATGATAAGAAGGATGCATTTATACATGGTGGTGGCTATCTAAGAGCCCTGTGTATCTAACATGATTTACATACAGTAGTATTATAGTCCTATACTCCTATGAAAATATTGTATGAACCATGAAGTCCAAATAGAAAATATTATTAGCTATTATTAGTAAAAATCTTAATAAATAATATAAAACAAAATTATTTATAACGTTCTAAAATAAATTAAATATATTATGTACTTAATACATTACTATAATACAATAGGTACTAATTTTTTTTTTTTTTTTATAAAAATTATACATAATTATCAATATTTATATATTACAAAGAACAAAATTACTTAATTTTGGCAGACTGCAGAGAGTTAAATATATAGATTATTAATATATTAGATTTAACATTTTATAATTTTAAATAACAAACTTTCTTGGTATACAGTAAAAAATAAATTAGATTAGAAAAAAAAACAAAAGATTATTGCTACCTATTATATAGATAATTTAGGTTTTATAGATACACAATATACATTATATATTATACAATATTAAATATTAAATACATGATGAAAATAGCCATTCAAGTATAAGTTTCTTAACATTTAAACTCTTATTTACATACATGTCATAAATATTTTATTTAAAAATTAATATCATAGAATTATAATAGGTCGGTGCAAGATAGTCCTCAAATTTTTTACATAAACATTTCTTAAAATATATAACTGGCATTAAAGGCTAAATGTTTTTTTTCAACATTACAATTTACCTAGTGATTTAATTTTTTTATAAACCACTATATGGCTATTTTTTTTAAATAGTAATTTGACAGGTAGCATTTTAAATGTCTTAAAATTTTCTTTTGAAGGGCTTTCTATCGTACCCTTTCTCAGACATATGCGTACAATTTGTTTTTGTTGATTTAATAAAGGATATAAAGCATTATCATTCAGGCTTACCTATAATAGTAATCCATATTGAAAAATAGCTTGATCGATAGATGAATACACTATACACAGGGTATAAATAGGAACTTCATGACGTAAATTACAGAAACTAGAATTTAAACTTAGTAGTTTCATAACTAGGTTATTAACATGTGAATTCCAGCACAAGTTTTTATTAAAAAATAAACCTAGATATCTGACACTTGAAACTCTTGATATGTTTTGACACTGCGTATTTTTACATGGGATATTGTTTTCACATATATTATTAAAATATGTAGGTAGCTAAATTATTATTTTTTATACATTATTATCGTTAAAAATGTATTGACATTTTGAATTATTCCATTATTAGTCATTAGCAATACATGAGTGATCGGTAATAGACATGAATAGTAGGTACGCGGAAAACAAAAGTTGGAGAACCTTTGTTCTAGATGTATTAAAATATATCTCATTATATTGTCACTAATTAAGTTACATATTATACTAGACATGTTTCAGAGAAAACAGATTAACAACTGCGTGGTGATAATATTGATATTAATATACAACTAGGTATGTTGACAAATGTCTACAATGCTCGTTATCTAATTAGAATTTTTTTTTAAATAGTCCATAGACAAAGTTCAGTGTCCTTCCACCCAAGGACGTCCACAGACATTTTCACCGGGGGGAGGGTTGGCAAGGTGTATATTATACATATATTTCATTATTAATATTATAATATTAACTATCAAATTGTATAAAAATATTATTGGTCATTAAATAAAAATTGTATGAGCATATAGGTTCCATATTTTTATTGTTTCATCTATTATGTTTGATTTTTGAGCTTGCACATAAGGTTTGTAAATATTCATTAATGGCAAGCCATTCAAGTGGTGCTCAGTAACAGTACTACGAAGCCATGTTTTAAGTCTTTCGAGCCAGCTAATTTAAAGCAAATATAAAACATAATTAATAATTGTAGTAGTATAAATAAAACGATATATTATAAATTGTAATACAAACCTAAAAGACCTTTCAACACTACATGTAGTATATGGAAATGTAGCTACTATTAAAAGACATTCTTTTATTGAAGGTAAAAATGTGACTTCATCTAATAAATTCAGAAAATCCATATTGTTATCATTTTTCCTTTCCACATATTGTATCATACTAGGCCTTCTTCTTCAATATTCTCTATAAATTCTCCATAAAATGATTTTAGATTTTGGAGTTGTATGATGAATTCTTCTTTTTTAGTTTGTTTTAAGTACTTAGGATGAACTGAAATAATCTCATATTTTGAATTATCTGCTGGAAACCTTTAATTTAAAGATGTGATCAGTGAATCTAAATATGGTATGTAAATGGATTTTTAGTAGTAGGCTTCTTTACCTGATGAAGGGGGGTTATTTCTTAAAGTTTGTTTTGATGATACTCTTGATGATACTGTAAGTCTGTATTACTATATACAAATATTGACAAAAAAACGAGGGGCCTTGCCCCTCCCGCCCCCCCCCCTGTGGGCGCCCTTGCTGCTCCACCCCAGAAAACATATTTAATATGATTCATAGAGTTTCCTCGTAGAGAAAAAATATCAAGTAGCATGCTATGTTTTTTTATTATTTGTCATGTGGTATCACAACTGAGGCTTAAACCACAATAGAATAACTTTCATGAGTGCCTTAAGTCTTGAAGAGTAATGGCCTAGCTCATGATTGGTCCTCGTACATAATGACTTCCATTTGGCACCTATAAATGTATACAATTAACATTAGAATTGAAACATTTCAATTTAAAAGAAAACGGCATACAAGAAACAATTGAAAAGCCTCAAAATATTCTCAACAAATATTGTCGGCATTCATAGCTCTTCGCCATGTTTCCCTATAATCAGCAACCATAGAAGGTAATGGGAATATTATTTTAATATACATACTTATATAATATACATAATTATAAATAATAGATGTTATACCTAGGTTGTAAATCTGAAAATGTTCCACACATCTTACACATCTTACTGCTTTCAAAAGAAGTGTTCAAGTCAGACTTTCCAATATTTGGGTATTTGTACTGGAATATAAGTCAACCAAATTGTCCTTGTATTTTACATCATCTGAGAGGCATGAATCATGAATGTTATCAATACCTAAAACCAATAAAGATTAAGAAGGCAAATCCATAATATACTTAAAATATGATTATTAAGATTAGGAAGTATTAAGAAAACTAATACTAAATGTGTATGTTATTATTTAATATAGAAGCTTTGTTTTAAAGAATTTGAAATATTTTATGGGTAAATCCACACTAAATTTATAATACTTTTTTGATAAAACGCATACTAAAAGACGACCTTATAGACGACCTAAATAAGTTATTATTATAATATTATCAACAGCACTGTAGTTGTCGTCTCGTTATTTATTACTTACAAATGTATGCTTTTAAATTTTGTTCTTTTAAAAAATAATAAATAATTAGAATAAAAATATTAAAATATTAATGCCATGTCCCTAAGAAAAGTGTTAAATTTGTCCCTTTGATTGATTCATTACCACCGTGCTTCGATAAGATACGTGTAATGGCAGTTAATTATATTTATAAATATAGAAAATTCCATTATTATATATTAATTTTATACGTCGAAAGCATATCAGGTATAAGCCTCAAAGTCCACCACAAACTTTCTATCCTTTGAGTGTGTGCACTAGGTACTATCATTGTAATCAAGTGGTAGAACGCATACTACAAGCGTCCCGTAACCGGTAGTAGATTGAAACTGCGGTAGATGCCATACAACAATATAGTCATAATGATTACATATTACATTTGTACCAAAAATTAAATTCTTTTAAAAAAAAAATTATGGTGTATTTGAAGTATGAAATTTATTAAATATCAAAGAAGATTTTTCCGACAAAAGGTACCTATACAGAAAAAATATGTATTATTATATTATTGTTAATAACAAACTATTTGTAAAATAGTATTAAATGTAAGCTAAGAGAATTAAGAGAAAACCTGCATTGTAGACAAATGTGTGGTAATTGGCAGTCAAGAATTGATTAAAACAATAATAGAAAAAAAATTCTTCTAACATTTTTTTAAAATGGCCGTATAAGAAATATATTATGGAGAATATATTTAATAACTTTATTCTTTATAATATTAATTCTAATCTAATTTTATTTTACACTTGTAATATAAGAGTTTTTGTAAGAAAAACATTTTTATAGGTACCTGTAAAATTTTTTTTTTTTTGTGTAAAATAAAAAATGTATTTTAAATTAATTGTTTAATAGTTATTTTATAATAATATTTGGATTAGTTTTTCAAAGCTTTTGCACTTTTAAATATGGCTTCTTATAAAATACTCCAAAGGCCTTGGGTATGCCAGGCCAATACTGATACAAAAATGTATAGAAATTCTTGTGAAGAAAATAAAGTGTGTAAAAACTGTGTTTTTGTTACTTAAACATTTTAATGAAGTACATTGTCAAGGTATAGGAAATAAATAAGATTAATAAAATAAGATTATCAGTATATAGATTATCAGATAACAGTACCAGTTTAGTCAGTCTCCATTAGCTACTTTACTTGTGAATATTGGTTAAAGTAACCTTATTCGCGTTGTACGTTAAAATTTCTAATGAAACTCTGGATATCTGCAACAGAAAGAATAGTTTGTTAACAGGTGTATATGCATGCAATATTGCAATATCATTTGTGAAATTTGTTGAATTAAGATAAGTTAGAATCTATTATATTTTCTAGTATATATTATATATATATTCTATTATATTTAGGGCCAAGCAATGTGTAAACAGTACGGCCCTCATGTAGTGATTATACATGGAAAAAAAAAGAATCTATTGTATTTAATTTATGGTTTTGGATATCAACACAAATATCCAATGATATAAATTTTGATAAAATTATCCTACAGTAAAATTAAATTTCTTAAACTTCGTAACTGCATATGGTTTTTAACTTGAAGTTGGAGCTTGTGCTTGATTTATTATAAGTAACTGTTCCGAAATTAGCTTACTCTCAAAATTAGGTCCAGCTTCAAAACCTTATGAAGTTATGTCTATTGATACAGTTGGAGGATTTGGTGGTAATAGATCAACAAAAAAAATATTTACATATTTTAGAAGACCATTTCACTAGATATGCATTTATTTCTACTTCTAAGGGTCAAAATGCAAGAGACTTTATTAGTTTAATCAACTCAGTAGCAAAAGAACATCAGATAAAAATCATTTTAGCAGATCAATACACGGGTATCAATTCCAAAGAAGTGAAAAACTATATGTATGAAATTAATGAATATCACATTAATATTTACATCTGCAGACTGTGCATTCTAAATGGTTTGAATGAAAGAATAAATAAAACAATAGTCAATAGAATAAAATGTAAAATTAATAATGGAGAAAAGAGCATGGTCTAAAATTGCTGGAAAATGTGTGGAAAAATACAACAGTACAACACACAGTGTCACAAAATTTTCACCAGCCTATCTCTTATGTGGTATAACACCAAATAAAGTAGGTACCAATTAAACTTCAAGAAAAAAAATTTAATTTAGAAGCTGACAGAGAACAAGCAGTAATAAACTCAACAAAAAACTATGAAAAAAAAAAAAAAAGAGTGGATAAAACCAGGATAGTTCACACATTCCAAAAGAATGACTTAGTATATATTGAAAATGGTAACAAAATGAATAGAAACAAATTAGATGAGATTAGAAGTGGACCTTTCAGAATAATAAAGAAATATATATGAAGTCAAAGGGGCTAAAAGGGTTAAAGAAACCAACTTCTATCATAAGAGCAAATTAATTACAGTAAAAACTCAAGTACTCAAGTTGGAGGGCTCACCGGTGCTAGAGTCTACAAGAGGAGAGGTGTAACAGTGATAACACTGTTATACAGTCGTTTCAGAAACATGTTATTATATAACAATATTATATAATAGCCGTTTGTCCAATCTACTCATCTTTATTATGTAAGTTCAATATTCGTGTATGTGTTATTATAATATGTGTCAGTAAATTATATATTATACAAACATAAAGTAACTAATAATTATGAAAATATCGATTTTCCTTATATAGGTATGTATGTTTAATTTTTACCAATTGTGTATTATGTATTATGTAGATTAATAAAATTTTCCTTTATATAGTGAAAATCGATTATCTTATTGGTTTATTGAATAGCAGAATTACATATAATAGACTACACTACTACAGAGTATTATATAAATTATAAGTATTATTTAATACTTATACATTTTTATAGTAAAACTTACTCAACAATCAATATACAAAATAACTTATTTTATAAGTTAGATGATATTCAGCAATAGTAGATATATTTTATTTTCATGAAATTTTACTCATTTAAATGTCTGTTTAAATGTCTCCATTGAACTTGAAATAACATGAAACATCTAAAATAATAATTAGAAATGTAAAAATTGAAAAGTATATATTTACTTATTTACTCTATATATAACTGGACTTACAGAGTCAATTAAATTGTTAACAATGAATTTATATAGTAGTTGGCTGAAGAATAATTTCATAAATTCAGGGATTCTCCAAATATCTCCAAAAAGTGTTTTTCATTTTGATATCAAAATCTTGTCCCAAACTACAAATTAAGAATGACGAATAAACATTTTAATTATTTCAATAATAAAAATAACAATTTAAAAAACATAATATTACATACCTACCTGAATCTCCTAATCCAGCTTTATGGAAGTCAATTATTATTATAATTCTATGTAAATTAAATTTGTTTGATTGGGCTTGAATTATTGAGGTATTGAGACTTCAGACTATTACTAACCATTTGAACCTATGGAATAAAATATATTATATTATACATTAAAATTATGACATTTGATACTCCACCATATGATATATTGGGGGTATTAACTATTAACCCGAAGTGGACATTTAGCACTGATCATTAATTCATGCATTTTATATTTATTTTAATATGATAATATATCATTATACTAATATTTAATACTAGTATATTAATATACATAAAAATACTACTAATTGAGTTATAGTGCAATACAGTTATAACAAAGATTATAACCGTCCAGTTTAGAACAAAAATATTTTTACATTATATAATTATGGGTTATTTATTTATATGCTACAGAAAAAAATAGAAAAATGTATAAGTTTAATAACTTAATTAATTAATTAAATCAATCATTTCCAATAAAATATATACCAACCTAAGTTGTTCAGTCTACATTTAAAGTAGTCGATTGTTTGATAATGGAAATTCATATTTGATTTGAGAACTTCATGAGTTGTCATAGCATTTATCGTTTGAAGGCCTTCAATGAAATTGTAAATGTTTGGATAACAAAATTTGAATAACATTTTTGAACTTATTATTCCACATTTTGCCTTTTTTGAATAACAATTAGCTAGGTGTAGCATTGTAAACTCTCCACATACTCAATCATCGTCTCATACTTGCAACTGAAATACCTACCTAAACAGAGTAAAAATATATACCTATAAGCAAGTTGTCCACTTAATATATTATCAATTATCTTACAAAAAAATTTGTACCGGTATTAAAAACTTATGAAAATATTAACCTTAATATTAATATTATTAAAATAAATACTAAATGTCCAAATGTAAAATCATTTTACTATTTTAGGTTTCCTAAAAACCACTTCCAGTGTATGCAACACTGGAGTATCCTGGCCACGCATCTGTTGATCCGTTTTATTATTAAGATTCAAGTCCAATATTTTTGAACAATAAAACGAACATTTCATCATCATTAATTATACTTTGAACAAAACAGTTTTACCTTATGCAGCATAATATGTAAATTGTAATACCTAGGTACAATATTATTGTAGTACCCACCTGTTCTTTCATTTATTTTGTGTGCAAAACCAGTTTAATTGAATAGGTTGAAAAAATGCACCCTTATTACCATCTCCTCACTAGCAAATGACGCTCTGTATCGGACACGAATACATTTATTGAAATTTTTGAGATGCTTTAATGTAGGCATGTTTATTTTATCATTATTTTTTAAACACTAGACATTAGACAATTCAGTCAGCTTGTCAACATTTTGACGTATAGATGGCGCCACCGAATCAGGTAAAGCCACTGAAGTGTATAACATGAAGATTAGAATAAGGAGGCCAAACTCCGCTTCTGATAACGTCCCGAAATTAGTCGCAAGATCAAACGGCCAAATTCTGCGCTGCTTACACTAGGGTTTCTACTTTAACCCGGGTAGTATAGGGATTATTCATGTTTTTTGCGTTTCTTGGAAAATATATGCATTATTTTGAACTATGACCTCTTTAGATTTTATAGCTTGTACGATTATGCATTTATACATGACGTGCATAGGTGTATATTTCATAGACATGTTATTCAAGAAACAAATTTGAGTGTAACGATACATATTATATTGGTATAAAACAATCGTCCAAGGAAACACGTATATTAAGTATAGTGTAACGAATAGTATCGGGTTCAGACTTGCTGCGAACAAAGATATTATAATGCACGAGTTTGGTCTCCTTATTCTAGTCATTGAACTATATGAATATATGACTCATATAGTTATCATAAATTCAATGATTCTAGTCTTCATGGTGTACAATCACGATTTAAGATATACCTATATCTTAAATCGTGTGTACAATACTGTTCAGTGGGTAATGCCAACCACTGGACTGTATAGAATTCAGTGTGGCCAACGCTCCACGCCTCCACTTTAAACACTAGATTAAAAAAAAATTAAGACAATAGAATTGTAGTTACTGAAACGTTCTATAATTAGACCATTGGTGACACAGTGAAGAGCACAAAACATATAATACTTTCAGAGGGGCAGCAAAACGGAATAGAAAAAATCAAAAATGCTTTGGTTTTTAATCATGCGATTTCTTTTTTAAAATCTCATACCAAAAACTAATTTTTTTTTTTGTTATCAGTTAACCAGCGGCAACTTAGGCCATTCATAGATAATATAAGAAAATATTCTTATATTATCTATGAGGCCATTAAGCTGGTTTTAAGCTGTGGGGGAGGGGTCAGTAGGTGTAAGCACGTGTGTGTAGTTTTGGCAGATTTTCAAGTGGGCACCCGTAGGTATCTGCAATGCCCGGTTGGGGGATGGCGGTACTTGTTCGGACACCGTGACTTGCCCGAAGAAAAATGATACCCGTGAACTGAGGTTTGAACCAGCTCCGGTGGTCACAACCGACGCCTTACGCTATGTCCTAACTGGTTTGCAAGCATGCGGGGAAAAACAAAATTATGTTAGTCCGCTCGGCCACTCCGTCCTCCTAAAACTAATAAATTCCGTTTTTTTTTTTTAACTATACTCCGGCCCACGAGAGAGTATTACCGTTTTGCGCATGCAGACTGACGGCGGCAGCGTTGCCAACCTCCAAAGTTGAATATATCGTATGGCTGCTATAAAATTATCGTATTTCACACATTTTTGATAAAAAATATCGTACATACAAAAAGTTCTTTATTTGGTCATATTGACTAGTTAAAAATATTAAAAATGTTTAAAAAAAAAACAGTAACACTGTACATTAGTCATTAATATAAGTTAAGTTTAGTATAAAAATATTTAAAATTTAAATGTTGTATATAATAATAAATTAATAAGGTTTCATTTCAGAAAATAAAACTTATGAAATAATAAATTGTTAATGGCATAAAAAAAAATCAACAATTTTGAAACATACCAAAAATTGTTTCATCATTTTCATTGATACTATTTTTATATAAAATAGTTTTAGTCATACAATTTATCATATTCTTAGTGGGTTTAAATGTAATACAATTGCCATTATTAGAAAGATGTTGTTTTGTGTGTAAAGCTCCATTGATCGTATCGGTATTTAATCTATTCCTAATCTTGGTTTTCATACAGTTAACAGATGAAAAAACTCTTTCACAATCTGCATTTGAGTGTGGAAGACTTAGAACATCTAATGCAAATTTAGTTAACTCTGAAAAGTCACTCAATTTTTGGCTAACTAAAACCCTGTTAACATTTAAAATAATAAAATGTTAGACACCTATACTACTGCCTATAAAAACTTAACTGAAGGTGATTTATTTATCTTACCAAAAAGAATCTATATTGATTCTTTTAGTACCAAATTCCATTGACATATTGATAATGTCATCTGTTATAATCATTGCAATAGGTAAATTCCTCCATTGGTTATCAATAACTTGCATAAGTTGTATGTTATCGGGTGATACTATTCTAGGGAGTATCTTCATTAGTGGTAACAATGAAGGAGTGTTCTCTCTAAAAACATGAGATACTGCATTATCTGGTTTCAAAATATAAAGCTTAGATAAAACCGGGTCATCCATATTGTATCTTTTATTAATTTCAGTAACGGCTACTTGAAAAAACTCTCTACACCTATAATTTAAAAACAATATTCTTTAATAAACTTAGTTATTAACTTTTGAAATGACATTTTTACCGTTGATAAAAATCTTTTTTTCGGATATTATCTCTGCATATTTGTGGATGATCAATATGATTAGCAACTTGAACACCTAAGTACATTTCTGAGTCAATCAATTGGTGCTCTTCGCTTATTGGATTTATCAAATTAAATTTTGTTTTTAAAACGTAACTTCGCTTTAAAAAACAAAGTAATATTTCTGTATAGAGTCCAGTGATTTTTTCATGGAGTTCATTTATTACAACATGTTTTGTTTGGAAGTAAGAATTAAATCTGTACAAATATAATTAAAAGGTAATATAATGATTCATGAAATGTATAAATTAGTATTAAGCATGTACCTGGTGAATAGTGGAAGAGCCCAACTTAGAAAAAGGTAACCCAATTTCATAAACATATCATTCAATCCATGATAAATCTGTTCAGTAACTAATAATCTTTGACTTAGATAGGTATCTGTAAAATATAGTTTTAAGCTGTCCCACTGCTCAAGAATACGGTCAACAACGGCAGCAAGGGAAAGCCATCTAGTCTGCGAAGGATGGAGTATTTTATGTGGCTCAAGATTCAGAAAAGATTGAAATTCTTTTAATTCACTCTGGCGTTTGGAACTACTTTTAAGAAAATTATAAATATTTCGGGCCATATCTTCTAATGCACGTGGTAATTTCTTACAAGCTTCACTCACGCATAAATGTGCCGAATGACAAACACATTTCATAACAAAAATTCCTAAGCACAAGTATTTAATATTGATTATTACACTTTATATAACTAGACTTATAATAAACAATTAATATTACCAGGACAAGATTCGCGTAAGCGAGATGCTACAGAATTGTTTCCACCCATCATTACATGACAGCCATCAGAACCAAAACCAATGACATTGCTTAATGGAATATTATAAGTATTAAAAGTATTCATTAAACCTTTGTACAAATTTTCTGCATTTGCTGAGTGAGGGTTAGTTTTATCAAAAACGTTATGTAGTTCCCAGAATGTACTCACTATTTTCTTGGAACTATCATCATAAAATCTAACAAATGCAATTATATAGTAAAATTATATGTTTTTTTAATTATAATTAGATAGGTATGTCTATGAAATATTACCTTACTACAACACATGATGTTTTAATGGTACCAATATCTGTTGATTCGTCTGTCATAATACTGAATTTACACATTTTTAGTTTGTTAGCCAATTCTAATTTTTGTGATGCGCCAATAACATTTTTTATTATAATTTATAGCAGTGGTTTTTGTACGTTTCATATTTAATCCCTGAATAGTTTCTGAATCGTCAAATGTTTCTTTTAATAAATCAATTAAATGATCACTAGTTAAAAAAGAAATATTGTGTTCCGCAAAAAAAGCAGCCAGTCTAATCTCAGCTACAGACACTTTTTCTTTTTTTTTAATGTTTGCTTCTACTTCAACTTGAGGTGTAGTAAAACAAGACATTAGAGGTTGACGTTTAATACCATTCAATAATTGGGAATGTTTTTTTCCAATATTATGTGACTTTAAGACAGACATTTCGGCAACCATTGGTACTTTACAAAACTTGCAAAATGCTTTGTATTCATCTTGAGGGACAGGTGCAATCCAATGTTCAAAATCTTTAGATTTTGTCCATTCATTTCGAAATTTTTGTGATCGATGCTTGGGCCTATCTTTTTTAGAAACTTCGCTGCCTCTTTTCAATTTTGTTTTAGTAGGTGTATTTTGTCTATAATCCGGATTATCGATATCACTTTCTTCCTTGTCCATTACAATATCTCACAATCTCACTCTGTACGACACAGACAAACTATACGGAACTGATTTAATGCACTAAACAGTAAAATTACAGTAAACACTAATACTTAAATGTATTCATATACATACAATTTCTAAAACAAAACAAATATTGTCGAATAACACTGTTGATAAAAATCTTTTTCTTCAGATAAATAAATGTACCTTTTAAATATAAATATCACTGGCAATTCCAATACAATATTATTAATACATAATATATAGATACTATATTATTATAGAAAATATTATACCTTTACAGATAATTTTACATTTAATTTCTAACTGAAAAAAATAAAGATTTCATACTTACAGTAAATCTATAACATTTGGGACCTATAATTATTTGCAATTAATAATAATTATAATATTATTTAAATTTATGCGGGAAATGTTAGTTTATTATCATATTATGCATAGAACCTTATCTTAGGTAACCTGTATATTATCTTAAATCGTGACCGTGATTTACCAATTATAAAATTTTGATAAAATTCAATATCAAATATTTATAATTTCAGGTTATAAAACATAGATAGCATTATCTACTATTATCTATGACTATCTATTGTTATAAGGACAACACTTACTACATAGTCATATTATACCTACATAATTTGTAATTTGTAATATTTAATAATATATGGTATTACCAAAAGTCCACAAGGCTTGTTTTTGGCACAGTAAAAAATTTTAAAAAAAAATTTTAAATGAAATTTATAAAATTATCGTATTTTTATGTACGATAATAATTATATATCGTACATCGTACAGCTGGTTAAAATCATCGTACAAATACGATAATTATCGTACCATTGGCAACGCTGGACGGCGGAGACCGTTCCGAGGCCCCATTTCCCCCACTATTTCCGCGACCGCTATTCACCGTATAGCGTTGAGCGCTGCCGACCGGTACCGAACAGTTGTCGGCACATGCCGAGTAATGGGGAATGCGCGGAATCGGACGAGTTTTCGTCGGGCGACGGTTAGGGCCAGTTGTACCGTTCTGTAGTTAAACATCGATTAGCTAATCAGTGATCAAATTTTAATCAATGATTAACTATTGATGTGTTGTATAGTTGCTGGTATGGCTGTGATTAGGTAATCGATGATTAAAATGAGACTAACAAATTATTGTACACTTGTTTACAATATTTTTATTTATTGTTGGCACCAGTTCACGCTTTATCACAGAACTACTGATAACATTCATAATAACGATATATTTATTTATGTTGAAACCTTTATTATTTAATAATTAAAAACTTAAAAGTTAAAACACTTTATTAGTTACTTTTGTATTAAAATATACATAATATTCTATTACTATGGAAGTAGCTTCCAAGAAGCGTACTACCAATTTTACGTCTTCCGAAGAAGAATTACTAATTACATTAGTGAAAAAATATAAATCTGTGTTGGAGTGTTTGAAAACTGATGCTGTAAATGCCAAGTATGTAAAGTAGTTCTATAATTGTTTGTTTAACTTTTTATATTTGTACTCGTGTTGTGTTCTACCCATTGTAAAACACCATTATAATATGTGATATATTATTCTATACTTAGTAAGTAGACAATTTTTTTATTATAGTATGAACATCATAAATCTGTATAGTATTTATATAACTGTGTATTTACCAATAACCTAATGTCACAGATGTATGCTTATCTGTAATAATATTAAATAAAAATATCACATATTAATATCATTAATTGAGTCTATACGACACTGATTGGATTTCGTAGGCAAATGTTTACTGACTATATAATCTGACTAAAAAGAACTATACATTTTAATTATTTATAACATTGCGGTATGTGGAATAGTAATTGTTTAATCAATTTAATAGTGTAATAAAATGTGAATAGTTGATAAAAAGAATACTTTAAATAAATACTTAAAACTCTAAATTGTGTTAATATTCATTAATATTTATTTTAATATTATAAATCATTACATTAATTTGACCATTTTAATTTATTGTTGTTGGGTAGATACTATATTATTCAAAATATGTATGATTTGTACCTACAATTGTAAAATATTTGAATGTGTTAAGTGATAATTTAACCTAAGAAAAACTAAATTCCTACCTTTATTTTTATTTTCAACATAATAAATTCAGGCATTATTCTAATACATAATTTAAGTGGTTGTTAAACAATACAATAAAACTATTAAATTAAATGAAACTCCTGTAATATGGTATTGAACATACTTTCAAAATTTTTTTAAATCCTATTTTCCTGTATGTAATAATTAACCAATGAACAGCATACAACACGAGTACCATTATATCAGCAATAATCTTATGGGTAAATAAATGTAATATATTATGATATTTCCATTTTTAGAATGAAAAAGAATGCATGGTCTAAAATTGAAAGAGAGTTTAATTCCCAATCAATAGAGACCCCACGTACTGCCGATATACTGAAAAATAAGTATATTAACTTAAAAAGAAAAGTTAAAAAACAGTATGCAGATGAAAAAGTATATCATCGGGGTACTGGAGGAGGCCCATCAGTCTTTTTTGGAGTCGTCTGCAGCAGTATCAATTGGGGAAATGTTACAAAATAAAATGACAGGAGAAATGCCAGTATATGATTGTGATGCACTTAATAAAGACACATCAGATGAGATAGAGATTGATGTTAGTCTCATCAACAAAGACATTTTTGATGATCATAGTATCATCATTATGCCAGATGATACTTATGACATGCATCATGCAACTGAAAATCTTGAAGAACCCAAGACAAGTGGTTAGTAAAACTGATATTATAAATTGTATTATTTAAAAAATTAACTATTAACTAATTAATCAAAATTTAAATTCTATTTATTTTTTAAATTATAGGAGTAACCAGGAATTGGACAAATTGTGAATCAGAAATTACCGAAACTGACGATGTTGAAGAACCAAGTACAAGTGGTAAGTAAAACTGGTATTAAAATAGTAATGTTTAAAAAAAAATCATTAATTTATTTAACAAAGTTTAAAGATTAATTCAGGATTAATTAAAGATAAATATTTTATAGGAGTTGCTAGGGATTGGATCCACTATACTCCAGCAGATTTAAAATCAAGATCAGCGTTAACTGGTAATACATCTGGTAAGCAAAGTATTTTATTTATAAATTAATTATAGTGTAGGTAGTTTTTATTTAGTCAATGTCTGTATTTTAATTTTGCTAGTGACACATAATTTATAAAATTTAAAAAATAATAACATTTTGAGACTAATTATTTATGTATGTAAACATAACTAATTTAAAAATAAAACAAAATGTATTAAAATACTGAAATATTTCATTTTTTTAAATTTCATGAAATTTTCAAACACTATTTATGATGAACCTGTAAATTTAATTTAGATGGTAATGTGTCAAAAAAGTGTAAGGGATACCAGGACAAAATTTCTCAATGGGTTTCTACTCGTGCATCTCTATCTGACCAACAACAAAAAGCATTTATTGACCATCATAAATTAAAAATGGATCAAATGCGTGAAAAACATGCAGTCGAATTGAGAATGATGGCTGAGAAGCATCAAATTGAAATGCAGAACTTAAAACTTACGAATGAAATATTACATTTACAAAAAGAAAAAGAAAAGAAATATTAATACAATATAAGTTACCTATAACCATATAAGTTCCTAATACTACAGCTTTTATATATTATCCATAAGTTGAGATATTTTTTTTAAATTTAATTTTGTTACTGCAATAATAATATTTATGTAATACATAAGTTCCTAATACTGACTACAGTTTTTATATATTATCCATAAGATTGAGATATTTTTTTTAAATTTAATTTTGTTACTGCAATAATAATATATATGTAATACATAAGTTCCTAATACTGACTACAGTTTTTATATATTATCTATAAGATTGAGATATTTTTTTTGAATTTAATTTTGTTACTACAGTAATAATATATATGTAATAATACTGTTGTTTTTGTTTGTTTTATTAAAAAATATATATTAATATCAATTAATGGTTAAATATGGCATTTTAATTTTAAAAAAATATGTAGAATTATATATAGTTTAAACATTGGCAAAATATCGAAGTAATTTTCTCCTTGTACTATTTTGCACTGCATTCCTGCTAATTGCATCCCCTGGATTGTTGAAATCTGTGATTCTAATAGAAGATTCTACTGCTGTGGTCACTCTTGGAATTCCTTCTTTAAATTCACAGGCTATATTATGAAGTACAGCTGTGGCAACAATTATGGATTGTGATGAAGTTCTTTTGACATTTATACCTGTAGCTAATATTGGAAAGCGACGTTTCCAAACGCCATAACTTCTTTCCACAGTATTTCTTGTACGGATTAAAGATTCGTTATATTTATCAACGGCTGCTGCAGTTATACCAGATGCAGGATCTATTAGTGAGCCAGGGTTCCCAACTAAGGTCATAACAAAATCACGCTGTGCATAGCCACTATCAGCTACCAATAGACAATTCTGCATTTCACCCCTTTCAAACTTTCCTCGTATTGCCGAATTGTTAAAAATAGTGGAATCATGTGATGACCCAGGCCACCGAGCAACAATATCTTGGATTTTTAAATTTGCATCACATATAGTTTGGACATTAATTGAGAAGAAGCTCTTTCTGTTTCGATACATCTCTGCATTATCACCACCGGGTGACCTTATTTTGACATGTGTACAGTCTAAAGCACCAATAACCAAGGGAAATTTAGCGATGTTATAAAAATCTTGTTTGACTTGTTTTATTTCCATTTCATTGTTAGGAAAATGCACAAATAATGGACGTAGTAAAGCAATTTCATGCGAAACAAGTTTAACTATGCGGCTGGCTGTTGACTTATGGACTCCAATAAAGTCCCCACAGACAACCAACATTGACCCTGTGGCATAATATCTCAATGTCAGGAGCACTTTATGTTCAGAACTTACTGCATGATTCCTACAATATATTAAAATTGAAGCTATAAGTAATCTCATAATACATATTTTGAACAACAACCTACACAATATAATTAACTTACCAATCGGTACGGGAGCAGATGCGGTCACCAATCAAATTAATAATAAAACGAACTGAAGTTTTGGACAATCGATATCGGTCAAAGAATTCATCATCTCTCCAATGCGTAAAATGGTCTGCCCTTTGTCTAAAGTTTCTTTGACGTCTGGGAAAAACAATCATCACCATCAAGTCGTTAAAATCATCATCTTCGATATCAGAATCGGATTCAAAAAAATTTTGGTCGTGATCAAAATACATTATATGAAAATGATGAATAACGATGAATATAAAAACAAAATGTAAAACACAACAGATTTAGGAATATAGAATATAGATTATAATTGAAATAAAACTTCACGCAAATTGATAAATATGGTTTTATTTAAATTCACGATTAAAGATAGAATGGTTGCACAACGAACTATGATAAGAAACAATTTAATGATGCTCATAGTTTCTTTTATTATCAACGATACTCTAGAAACTTTTACTAGCGCTCATAGGGTATAAATTATGTACTACGCATCAGAAATCAAGATTCTTCTGTAATAATATGCACATTTATTTTCCCGCGAAAATGCAAAAAAAGTACATACACGATTAAAAATACGATATTTTCAACGATTTTTACATTCGTGATTACATGGTACATACTACCTATGTAATTTTAATTGTAAAGTTTGGTTTAAAGTCACATCCTAATAAAAATTTATTTCTCATTCTGAGAAGTTTAGAGTTAAGTCTTGTGAAACATGCTGGCTCTATTGATGTGTTTAATGAAACATTGTCATATTTTCTAAGTACTAATAATCCTTTGACATTTGAATGTTACGTGCACCAAACTGATATTCTCACAGATATATGTAGCACATTTGTTATAATGAGAATGAGACAGTATACATATTATATTAAAAAACTAAATAAAACTAAAAAAAAATTATCAAAACTCGTAGGTAGTTAACTTAAATTATAATTTACACTGAAAGGGAAGTATATATATTATACTTTATTTAATCATCAAAAATATATTATTAATATTGTTTAAATATAATTATTATTTATTAAAAAATAAAAATTATGTAATGTACCCAACAACACAATATTATAATTTATAAAATATAAATTTATTATTTGTTATTCCGTATTTTATTTTTTATAACGTAAATTCATGACACGATTAAAAATAGTATATTATCAATTATTATTCAATATTTAAACGCTAGGAGCGCTAATGCTCGGTTCTGCTAGTCGTTGTGATAACAAGGAAACTCTGAGAAACACTTTATTATAGGTCGTTGTGCAACCATACTATCTTTAATCGTGTTTAAATTATAAACAAATTATAACAGAAACTGATAAGACTTACAAATGATAACATGAACAATAATCAGTGGTTAAATAGTTAACAACAGTTTAACCGGCCATTATTGGGTGGTTAACTTAACATTCGTTTAATCATTGATTAAATCTTTGACAGGCACTGTACAACGATTCAAAATCCTTAATCACTGATTAAAACATAATCGTAGTTTAACCACAGACGGTACAACTGGCCCTTATACTCTCTCGTGGGCCGGAGTATAGGTATTAATGATATAAGTAATATTATTTGTGTAACTTCTTACTTTTTTATGGACGAATTATATATACTTTGTTAGGCAATTCTTTCTGTTGTCCATATAGAATGTGTTTATTGTTTTATTCGTATATGTCGTCCTTACTCTTTATATTATGTGTATTGTATATTTGTAATTTGTATGCATTCAAATGTATACATTTAACACCAATATGGCAAAACAGACTAATGACTATAATTATTAGTATAAAAAGTATCGTAATTTATGTAGGATTTTCCCGTGTGCGTCCCAAAATGACAATTATTTAATGTGTGCGCCCGGAATAAGATATCTCCCGAGTGCGTCCCTAGAAAAAAGGTCATATTTGTTTACGTAACCCGGGTTGCATCTCAGTTCATTTCTGAACTTAGGGTGCACCCGTGACTCCACTAGTAGATGTAGCTTACTCCCTAAAAATATATCCTTATTGCGTATTATTATTTATTTTATTATATGGCCCATTTTTACAAGTTTGAGTTTTATACGCACTTCTACTATTCAATTTAATTTGTTGATAACTGATTACTGCATTATGGGCTCACTCAGGCAACTGGATATAATTTGTTAATAAGGCGGACGCACCCGTTCTATGAAAAAGGTAAAAATTAAAAACGACACACACTCAAGATGTCCCCATTTATATTTTATATTCCTATCTAAACTATCCTAAACTATCCTAAAACTATCTCTTCTATATGTTTTTTTACATGTAGCCATGTAGGACGAAGGGAATACAATATTTAAACGAAGGTTATAATATTTAAAAAATGTTAAATAATTATATAAGATTCATATATAATAGCATAAGTTTACAAGAAATAGATAAATCAATTTTAATGTTTTATTTTATATGTTATTCTGTCAAATATATTTCTGATTAAATAAAAAAAAAAATTGTTCTGCTTTTTTTTAAAATTGCACACAAATGTTTATGAATAGGTATGCCAATTGAATATAATGTTTAAAAACCTCTACCTCGCGTGAACAAACCGCTCCTTGTGTAAGTGTAACCAACTTAGAGTTAGATAGGTTCATTAGTTTTCAGAGGACTTTCCCCCCCCCTTGTATACGTGACTGGTTGTAACTATAGTCCGTCTATCCTAAGAACGCTACTCGTCCGAGCATCCAAATGACCGAGCCCCGCGGTTTCGTACCCAACTTTCTCCCACTATACCATTTAGCAGCGGCGGCGGCCAGAGTTGACGGCTGCCAGCGTTCGGAATGTTTAGTGGTGGGAATGCGCGAGATCGGACGAATTTTGGTCGCCACCCAGTAGCGTTCTTAGAATGGACAGACTATAGATACCTACCCTTTAGATCGGACTGATCAGAGTATTGGTAGGTGAATAGATAATAATATGTAATAGATAATAGCCAATAGGTATAACAATATAATATAATATCATAATATAGGTACTAATATATTATATTTAATATTCTATACCTAGGTACCTAAATACCTAATAAAATGTATTGGTATTTGGTGGTGTACAAACCTAAGAATAGCTCCTCGGATCGATTTGTTTTAGGGTAATAAAACATAATATCTGACGAGTATTATAATTTATTAAACACGACGGTCGTTCAAAATTAGAACGGCGGCATATTATATTATTTCCGTTATACTTCCGGTTTACCCACACGATACCAAATTTAATTTAATTCATCCGCTCCTTGCAACAATATGACCCAAAGGCATCCACGCTGATCACTTGGAAGTAGCTGCCTTCTGTTTTAATCACCTTATGCAGTTTTCTAAGGCCCTGACCATCACCCGGACAACCGGAGAACTTAGGAGACTTGCGAATGCTGATTGGAGTATGACGTTTGTGGCATTTCATCATTCTTTTATTTTTTATTACAAAACTAGGGGACGCCTGTACAAAATATAAAACAATACAAACGAAATCTATTATTATTTTATACTCTGAGCCATTGTAAACATTTGGTTTTACAATAAATGTTAGCCACCCATTCAAATCTCAACCACAATTACAAATCCCAAATATAGTGTATGTAGGTATATAAAGAAAGCATAGTTTTTAAATAGGTACACAGTATAATGCTCTTAAAATCCATTCTATAATTTGAGTGGTAAAATTTGTCACGGTACGAAACAATTTTAATAGAATTATCCACTCCATAAAATACATTTTTAGATAATTAGAGGTATCTTATTCAATAAAATATAAGAAAATAGAAATATTGTACATTCTGTACATATATTACTCCATGAAACTAAATGTATTCAATTTTATTTATTGATGATTTAATCTTTACAAAGTCTATTAAGTACATGAAATATTATGAGTTATAAGTTATAACTATAACGTTTAATGTTTATTGTTGAATCCATAAAAAAAATTAACGAAGACTAGTCTTTAAATATTATTATAATTTAACATTTGAATATTTACAGTATTTTATCTTATTAGGTAGGTACCATAGTCAATAGAACTAAAAATGTACAGTGTATAGACGTTCTATTATACGACACTATTGGAAATATCAATGTATAAGAATAATATTATCAAAAATTCAATTAATTACAAAAAATTGTATTTCTTTAAATACGTTTACACTCTGTTAGCTATTAAATACTATAGTTTATTATTATTGTTATACATTGATATTTCCAATAGTGTCGTATAATAAACTATAGTATTTAATAGCTAACAGAGTGTAAACGTATTTAAAGAAATACAATTTTTTGTAATTAATTGAATTTTTGATAATATTATTCTTATATAATTAAAATTACATTTATCATTTCATTATTATCGATTATTGTATAAAATACCTATATTATTTAATTATCGTTTACATAAATGATAAGTACTAATTAGTAATTAACCTAAGATACCTAATCTATTTCGTATTGTAATTTTATTTTTCACTCATAAATCATATTATAAGATTTTCTTTTGTAATCCCTATAACACCTATAAAACGGATATTAAAAATTATAATTTAATGCTTATTCAATTTACTCAAAAGGGCTCCTGCCCGTATATATTCAATAAAAATAAATACAATTTATAAATTATTATAGTTTTAAATTAGGTAAATTTTTATTTTTCACGACCGGCCGCTGTAAACTATACAAATATGGAATAACTCTACCGGAAGTTCTTATCGACAGAGTAAGGTATATATTAGGTACTCACTCCTATATTCAACTGCTGCCGATATAAATGTATAATATATTACAATCGATGTGTGGAGTAGCGCGTAGTGGTCTGGAGACGGTTAAATTTATGACGATATAACCTGAACAATTATTTATGTCTGAAATATATGCATTAATAACGTCAGCTGTTATTGAGTGATAATTTTCTATATTATACATATTTTTAGTTCAAACCGAAAAAGGTTTTCCGGAGATTATATAAAGATGTATTATAACATTGTTACCAATATAAATATGTTAATATGTTATATTATTTAATACCTATACGGCTATACCTAAATTATATAACCATAATTAATATATATTTTGTAATATTTGTTCACAAATAACTTAGTATAATAGCCACAAGCAACTATTAACCTTAATCGTTTAATTCATTCACTACCTACCCAATAAATATTTCTCCTTTTTTATACCTACTTAAAGAAATATAATACTTTTTTCTTTACATTT